ATGATAATGATAATGATGATGAAATTGTTGGATATTCAAATCAGTTATATGGCCAAATAGTTTTCTTGAAAGACATTCAAACATTATATTTGTTCATTTTTGAAAAACAGGTGCTCGTACAGTAGTCTCTAACACAGGTTAGTGTATACTGTAAACATAAGGTGTTATACGTTTTTTTTTTGTTCAAAACTAACAATAAAAAAAGACGCCCGAACAATGGTAATCGAGCGCTTTCGCAAACACGACGGAAGGCAACGACGACGGTGACGGGGAGCGAAAAAATAAATAAATCCGCACATGCGTGAACCAGAATTTAGTCCGTTTCGTTTGATTTTCTCGACCGTTCTCGGCCATAATAGCGTTCGTTCCCTAAACACGACAGAAGAGCTGTATCGCCCTGCAATCGGGATATAGATATCGTATATATCAACTGTACTTTGTGCTCGACTATCCAATTTTGACCTATTAATTATTATCCACACTTTTTCTGACACGTTCACAACCAAACATCAAGGTCCCCGTCCCCGATACCGAAACAGGTTGCAAATGAAGACAGGAACATAGTGCAGGACGATCTCAGTTGAGTGAATTCTCCCGTCGTCTTTGCTTCCACTGTCTTTACGAAAGCGCTCTAATGATGATGATGATGATGACGACGTTGAATGTTTACATTATTTATATGACCCCATACTTTTTTTTTAAAGACAATCAAACATTTGTGTTGTTGTTCATTTTGTAGAACAGATACTTCAACTCCAGTAGCCCTTACATTTTCATAATTTTAACAAACGAATTCGTTTTCACTGGGTGCCTCCGTAGCAAAAAGCAGATTTGACAAAAGACTTAACTCCGTTTCGTTGACAATCAGCCATGCATGAAGACTCTCGTCTACGGCTGATTGTCAACGAAACGGAGTTAAGTCTTTTGTAAATTTCGTTTATTGATACGGCAGGCAGCCAGTGAAAACGAATTCGTTTAATAAAATTATGGAAATGCAAGCACTACTTCAAACAAACAGAACTTTATCATTCCTCGCTCATTTTTCCTGATTGAGGTGTCATATGAAAGGGCAGAAACTTAACTTTCTAGAAATGTGAATTTTTCTTCGAAATTCAGATACGGCCCGCCAAATGTCTTTTTGGTTTCCTTCCTTCAAATTGCTTTTAATCACTTATCCGTGAAATATGCATCATCTGAGTAGCATCATATGAAAGAGGAGACTCTAAGCTTTCCACATATGTATCATTCATTAATTATAGTTGTGATTAAGTTATGGTAGAACATCGATACTTCTCGGTTTCGTTTTTTCTGGGACGCACTGTATATACAGAGACTATCAATTTTTTTCTTTCTCGATTTGCATAAACAGATGCTCCAACTACAACACTTGTGACAGGTAAGAATATATCGTAGCCATAATAATAATAATGATAATAACAATGATGTTAATACTATCAATAATGGTAATAATAATGGTATTGATAAAAATAATCTAACACATTTCCTTTTATTTTCATACAGTTTTTCGTTATGAAAATTGTTCAGACATTGAAAGATCGGGAGGGGAAGGCTGTTGTCTTCTTTAACAAAAAAAATTTAAAGGCTAGTGATTTTTGTTAACATAAATTCTTTGAAAGTCTTTGTGATCGTATTAAAAACATGTATTGAACCCATGGAGTGTCGTGGCTGAGTGATTTAAGGCGCTAGACTGGAGATACGAAGGTTGAGGGTTCGAATCCCGACACGGAACTAATATCCTTTGGCACGATATATCAACCTGCACTTGCTAATCTCCACCCAAGTGTTAAATGGGTACCCGGTAGGATGCGACCGAAACTTCTGGTCAAACAGTTTTTGAGCGTCAAGTAACGCCTGGCAGGGAATGCTCCCCAGGAAGTGGAGATTGTGCACACAGTGTGTGTGGGCAAGCACTGAATTCAATGACCGGGATTATAGTATATCTGTAGAAGCAGAATATGATAATTATTATTATTAATATTATTATGATAGAGTATATTCATTTTTGCATTTCAGTAGTATATTAAAGATACAGTCAATGTCTAGGCATGAGATTACATTTTTCAGAGTATCCATCTGAAGGTAATAGGCAGAGGTTGATTATGAAGTACGTACAAATACGTTTATATATATAGTGATGTTTGGGGATAATCAGCATGATAAAAGAATTGAAATATTGTGGAAAGTCACATACCCATAAATTACACGCAAATGTGATCATTTGTTTGTGAAGCAAAATGTTAAGCTATTTTCTCAGAAATTAGTTTTTTTAATATATGAGGGCCCTGGAGAGGAAAGGTTTTCATGAGACGTTCTTACTACGATATTCTTGATCTAAAACAGCCTAAAAACTGCTATGGTGATGATAATGATAATGATGATGAAATTGTTGGATATTCAAATCAGTTATATGGCCTAATAGTTTTCTTGAAAGACATTCAAACATTATATTTGTTCATTTTTGAAAAACAGGTGCTCGTACAGTAGTCTCTAACACAGGTTAGTGTATACTGTAAACATAAGGTGTTATAAGTTGTTTTTTTGTTCAAAACTAACAATAAAAAAAGACGCCCGAACAATGGTAATCGAGCGCTTTCGCAAACACGACGGAAGGCAACGACGACGGTGACGGGGAGCGAAAAAATAAATAAATCCGCACATGCGTGAACCAGAATTTAGTCCGTTTCGTTTGATTTTCTCGACCGTTCTCGGCCATAATAGCGTTCGTTCCCTAAACACGACAGAAGAGCTGTATCGCCCTGCAATCGGGATATAGATATCGTATATATCAACTGTACTTTGTGCTCGACTATCCAATTTTGACCTATTAATTATTATCCACACTTTTTCTGACACGTTCACAACCAAACATCAAGGTCCCCGTCCCCGATACCGAAACAGGTTGCAAATGAAGACAGGAACATAGTGCAGGACGATCTCAGTTGAGTGAATTCTCCCGTCGTCTTTGCTTCCACTGTCTTTACGAAAGCGCTCTAATGATGATGATGATGATGACGACGTTGAATGTTTACATTATTTATATGACCCCATACTTTTTTTTTAAAGACAATCAAACATTTGTGTTGTTGTTCATTTTGTAGAACAGATACTTCAACTCCAGTAGCCCTTACATTTTCATAATTTTAACAAACGAATTCGTTTTCACTGGGTGCCTCCGTAGCAAAAAGCAGATTTGACAAAAGACTTAACTCCGTTTCGTTGACAATCAGCCATGCATGAAGACTCTCGTCTACGGCTGATTGTCAACGAAACGGAGTTAAGTCTTTTGTAAATTTCGTTTATTGATACGGCAGGCAGCCAGTGAAAACGAATTCGTTTAATAAAATTATGGAAATGCAAGCACTACTTCAAACAAACAGAACTTTATCATTCCTCGCTCATTTTTCCTGATTGAGGTGTCATATGAAAGGGCAGAAACTTAACTTTCTAGAAATGTGAATTTTTCTTCGAAATTCAGATACGGCCCGCCAAATGTCTTTTTGGTTTCCTTCCTTCAAATTGCTTTTAATCACTTATCCGTGAAATATGCATCATCTGAGTAGCATCATATGAAAGAGGAGACTCTAAGCTTTCCACATATGTATCATTCATTAATTATAGTTGTGATTAAGTTATGGTATAACATCGATACTTCTCGGTTTCGTTTTTTCTGGGACGCACTGTATATACAGAGACTATCAATTTTTTTCTTTCTCGATTTGCATAAACAGATGCTCCAACTACAACACTTGTGACAGGTAAGAATATATCGTAGCCATAATAATAATAATGATAATAACAATGAAGTTAATACTATCAATAATGGTAATAATAATGGTATTGATAAAAATAATCTAACACATGTCCTTTTATTTTCATACAGTTTTTCGTTATGAAAATTGTTCAGACATTGAAAGATCGGGAGGGGAAGGCTGTTGTCTTCTTTAACAAAAATTTTTTAAAGGCTAGTGATTTTTGTTAACATAAATTCTTTGAAAGTCTTTGTGATCGTATTAAAAACATGTATTGAACCCATGAGGGTCGTGGCTGAGTGATTTAAGGCGCTAGACTGGAGATACGAAGGTCGAGGGTTCGAATCCCGACACAGAACTAATATCCTTTGGCAAGATATTAACCTGCACTTGCTAATTTCCACCCAAGTGTTAAATGGGTACCCGGTAGGATGCGACCGAAACTTCTGGTCAAACAGTTTTTGAGCGTCAAGTAACGCCTGGCAGGGAATGCTCCCCAAGGAGTGGAGATTGTGCACACAGTGTGTGTGGGCAAGCACTGAATTCAATGACCGGGATTATAGTATTATACTTTTACTTCTGCAGATACACTGTTAGAACGGTGTTTAAAATATCACTGTTTAAAAGAATGTTGTTTAAAAAAGTAAACAACGTTGTTCAAAATCGAAAAATCAGTGCTCGATTGGCTTAAACAACTATCTTTTAAAAAACAAAAAGATTTAATTAAACAGAGTTGTTTAAAAAGTCCCGGGGGCGTCGTTTTTTTGTTTTTTTTTCATAGGTTTTTATTCATTTCTCTCAAAGAAAAATTGTACATTTATAACATTGGATACAAAATAACAAAATAATTTAACATAGGTCTTTATAAATTTACCAATGATCTTTTACATTTACATACAAAAGTTACACCACTTCATTTTCCGTTGGAGACAAAAAAAAAATATATATATATATATATAAAAAAAAGAGAAAAGCTACAAAACACCTACTACCCCCCCCCCCCCCCCCCCACCCCACACAACATTTAAACACATAACATGTACAACAGTATAAAAAAAAAACACTAACATAGAACGAACAAACAAAAGTAGAGGGGGGGGGGAAATATCAACTCGATTCGCGATTGTAATTTGCGCACACACATGCGATATGCACAAAGTACGTACATAGTACATGCATAGCGCATGCAGCATACAATGCTAGTGCTAGTGCAGTGCAGTGCAGACGAAAATGGCGGAACACGGTGCAAGGCGACGACTTGGTTCTTCTCGGCTTCGCCGATGGGGTTTAGGTGAAGTTATAGAGACAAATAATAATGTTGTCTGTCACTGCCATGAATATGATGAACAAATGTTGAAGTAAATTGGCAACAAGCTCTGCATGTTACAGTGTATAAATCGTTGTGATTATTGCAGGAGTGGTTCCAGTAGGTCATTTCACAAGTCAAACAACCAGATAATAACCATTAAACAGTTCTGTTTAAAATTTAAGCAACTCCATTTAAACAACCCAGTAGTGCAGTAATACTGAATAAACAACAGTTGCTTAGTAATTTAAACATTATTGTTTAAAATTTAAACAACTTGCTTTAAACAACCGAGTTGTGCAATTTTATAACTAAACAACTGTTGTTTAAAACGTTTCCTAATTTTTTAACGACTAAGTGTTCAAAATGTAAACAACCTTAATTTGTTTAATTTTTAAACAACAGTTGAGCGATTCACCGGTTAACTTGGGGTTGTTTAAAATTTTAAACAACTTGTTTAATTTTGTTCTCACAGTGTATAATATCTGTAGAAGCAGAATGTGATAATTATTATTTTTAATATTATTATGATAGAGTATATTCATTTTTGCATTTCAGTAGTATATTAAAGATACAGTCAATGTCTAGGCATGAGATTACATTTTTCAGAGTATCCATCTGAAGGTAATAGGCAGAGGTTGATTATGAAGTACGTACAAATACGTTTATAAATATAGTGATGTTTGGGGATAATCAGCATGATAAAAGAATTGAAGTATTGTGGAAAGTCACATACCCATAAATTACACGCAAATGTGATCATTTGTTTGTGAAGCAAAATGTTAAGCTATTTTCTCCGAAATTATTTTTTTTAATATATGAGGGCCCTGGAGAGGAAAGGTTTTCATGAGACGTTCTTACTACGATATTCTTGATCTAAAACAGCCTAAAAACTGCTATGGTGATGATGATGATAATGATGATGAAATTGTTGGATCTTCACATCAGTTATATGGCCTAATAGTTTTCTTGAAAGACATTCAAACATTATATTTGTTCATTTTTGAAAAACAGGTGCTCGTACAGTAGTCTCTACCACAGGTTAGTGTATACTGTAAACATAAGGTGTTATACGTTTTTTTTTGTTCAAAACTAACAATAAAAAAGACGCCCGAACAATGGTAATCGAGGGCTTTCGTAAACACGACGGAAGGCAACGACGACGGTGACGGGGAGCGAAAAAAAAATTAATCCGCACATGCGTGAACCAGAATTTAGTTCGTTTCGTTTGATTTTCTCGACCGTTCTCTGCCATAATAGCGTTCGTTCCCTAAACACGACAGAAGAGCTGTATCGCCATGCAATCGGGATATAGATATCATATATATCAACTGTACTTTGTGCTCGACTATCCAATTTTGACATATTAATTATTATCCACACTTTTTCTGACACGTTCACAACCAAACATCAAGGTCCCCGTCCCCGGTGCCGAAACAGGTTACAAATGAAGACAGGGGCATAAAACAGGAAGATCTTGGTTGAGTGAATTTTTTTGTCGTCTTTGCTTCCATCGTCTTTACGAAAGTCCGATGTCCGATGATGATAAACATTTACAATATTTATATGGCCCAATATTTTTCTTTAAAGACAATCAAACATCTGTTTTCTTCAGTTTGTATAAACAGTTTCTCTCATTGCAGACCCTACCATAAAAAAGTTTATGCCGTTAACATAAGCTGTTATATATATATATATATATATATATTAGTCCGTTTCATTGATATTGTTATTAATTTTATCAATTTTGTTCTTTCTCAATTTGCATAAATAGATGCGCCAGCTACAACACCTGTGGCAGGTAAGAATATACCGTAGCCATAATAATAATAAATGATGATAACAATGATGATAATATTATCAATAGTGGTAATAATAATGATATTAATAAAAAATAATCTAAAACAATTTCTTTTTTTTAATACAGTTTTACGTAATGAAAATTGTTCAGAAAATGAAAGATAGGGAGGGGAAAGCTGTAATCTTCTTTTTTTTTAAATGTATGTAAAGGCTAGTGATTTTTGTTTACATAAATTCTTTGAAAGCTTTTGCGATCGTATTGAACACATGTATTGAACGCATGGAGTGTCGTGACTGAGTGATTTGAGGCGCTTGACTGAAGATGCGAAGGTCGACGGTTCGAATCCCGACACGGCACTAAATCCTTTGGCAAGATTTTAACCTGCACTTGCTACTCACCATCCAGGTTTTAAATGGGAGGTGTTAAATGGGTACCCGGTAGGATGCGACCGTCATTGTTGGTCAAACAGTTTTTGAGCGTCAAGTAACGTATATATGTATATATTTAGTTATATATATATATATATATATATATATATATATAAAACTAAATATATTAATGTTTGAGTGTCTCTTTATATAGAAGAGAGACTTTCGGACATCAATTGTGTTCATTTTGCATAAACAGATGCTCCAACTACAGTCCTTGCCACAGATTACAATATACGGAAGCTATGATAATAATGATAATAATATTATTGTTAATAATAATAATGATAATAATGAAACAATTAAACATACTTTTTTGCAATTTACTACTATTTTCATTAATTTTAATGTCATATACTTTAATAATAGGTATAGCACACCAAAATAAGTACAACAAACACATGTTATTTGATGATTGCAAATGACCAAGCTTCATGAAAGCTTCAAAAAACAAAAACAGAATTGAAAACGGTCAATGCGTTGTGATTTTATACCATTTTTTTATACCATTTTTTGAAATCGCAAAATTACCGAAAAACCTGCCAGAAATGGTCAAAATGGCAAAAATGGCAAAATTCGACAAAGTTGACAACTTAATTCATCACTTTCTAGGACACAAATAATAAATTAAAATATCAGACACTAGAATACCATCTTTGTGGTAAAAAGTACAAAAAAGAAAATTCATATATATATATATATATATATATATATATATTACCGTTTTGAAAACAGAAGCCAACAAAATAAGTCATGAAATAGTGAAAATAGTGAAAATAACTAAGTCCGCCTTATTAAAATATGACAGTAATGCGGATTAATGCCTCATAAAAGGGCACTAATATAGCACATCGACACGGTTTTTATCCTGGGTGCTCACAGTAACGAGGCCATTGCTTAGCCAATGAATCATGACTGTACGCAGCGGGCGCTAGGGTACGTCGACGCCCCCACAGAAACAAAAAATCAAAGAAAATGCAATAATTTTTCAATAATTCATTGCATTTTGCAGGCCATAACATTCAACAGGCCATAACATTCCACAGGGAATGAATTTCAGAGTGAAAAAAGTTTGGTGACATCAGTACAGTTGTGGCTACCTTGAGTGTAAACAACAAATTGATACAATGAGTGAAACACATGAGGATATTGCATTTTTTGTAGGGGAGTTTTATACATTGAGGTGCATTTTCACCACGCAGAATAACAATGCAAGTCAATGGTCGATCAGCGGGCCATGTCACACATGGCTGAAAAGCCAATATTCTAATTAAATAATTTAACATATTTCCCACATGCTTATAACAATGAAACTACTCAGAACTGTAGTTAAAGGTATGCTTGAATGTGTGTGAAATACAAATTTAAAAATACTGTTTAGTTTTTTTTAAATAAATTTACAAAAATTGCTATTTCTACCAATTGACAGCTGTTGTGTGTGTGTGTGTGTGTGTGTGTGTGTGTGTGTGTGTGTGTGCTCGCGGGGCAGACTGTGTGCACAGGCAGTATGATCACCCTATTAATACGATCGAAAAACGTTCAAATGTTATTTTTTTTTCACTTTGTATAACCAGCTACTCAACCTACACCCCTTATCACAGGTAAGTGTATATTGTAAACATAAGATTTTATATATGTTAATTCGTCCAAATTGACATAAAAAAGACACTGGTAATGATGATGATGAAGATGACGACGTTGAATACTCACATCATTTATATGGCCCAAAAGTATTCTTGAAAGTTATTCAAGCATTCTTTTTGTTCATTTTGTATAAACAGATGCTCCAACTGCACCCCTTGTCACACGTAAGTGTATCCTGTACACATAAGCTGTAATCTATGGTAATTATTTGCATTTACTTATTTTTGACGGCAACAGATGGTCTAAATAAAATAACAAGTGAGACGAGAATTGCGAACCCAAATTTCCCTTAACAAGTAAAATATGTTAATAATGCTGATATTTGATTTCTTATTTTATTTCTGCATTTTTTCCATATAAAATATAACTGAATAACAAAGAACATATAAATGTAAGGTATAATACAACATAAACAAACAATAATTTCTTCATGTCAAAATGTTTTTTTACGTAATATATGTACATATAATAACGAAACTGAATATTTCCATAACATATAATCATAAATTTAAAGTATCATCCGAACTTTGGAAAAAAAAAAGAAAAAAAAATGGAAAAGTGCAGGAGACCGCAATCATAAGCAAAGCTTGACAAGGATGGTGGCCTCAAAAAAAACCAAAACAAAAATCTTAAGGTAAACCTTAAAATGAAAAAGTGTTCAAACGATCTTTGTGTATGAGTTTGTGAGTGTGTTGTGCAAGTGTATATATATATATATATATAACTCCTATATCTACATTTGCTCCTACAGTTGAGCACTGTCAGAAATTGCAGTTTCACTAATCTTGCTTATATATATATATATATATATATATATTGTGTGTGTGTGTGTGTGTGTGTGCGTGTACGTGTGCGTGTGCGTGTGTGCGTGTGTGTGTGTGTGTGTGTGTGTGTGTGCATGTGCACGCGAGCGTGCTTGTTTGTATGTGTTTGTAACGAATAGTGGAAGTGCACGTAGCTCTGTGTGGTATACTGGAGTGAAAACAAGTATAACCTTTACAATAAAGGAAACTCAGAATACGAATAGAAAACAAAATTTGCAAAACTGAGTTGCAATTTGACCAAAATTTGACAATTACCTACTGCATGTTGAAATCAGTTAGGTAGATACTTCGATATAAGAGTTTTTTGAGAGATGCTTTAAAAGAATAGAGAGATGAACAATGCATAATTGAATTTGGTAAGGAGTTCCAAACATCTGGTCCATGATGTCTTACTGATTTTTGTGCTAAAAGTATTTTAGGATTTTCTAAGTGATAATTTGTTGAACAACGGGTGGGGTATGTGTGAATGTTTGAGTTTAAACTGTAAATATTGTGAAATAGGGATGGTAGTTGATTATGAGAATATTTATACATAAAAATGCATGTCTGGAAAATGTGAATATCTTGTATTTTTAATGTTTTTAAACGCTGAAATAAAGGTTCCGTGTGTGATATATAATGTGAGTTAGTGATCATGCGAATCGCTCTCTTTTGAAGCAAAAATAAGGAATTAATTCTTTTTAAACTACAATTACCCCATGCAATATAACAATATATCACATGTGATAAAATTAGAGAATTGTATAATATAATCATAGATCTTTCAGAAAGAATTTTTTTAACTTATACAGTACTCCAATATTCCTAGATATTGATGTATGTATATAACGTATATGCTCATTAAAATTTAGATGAGAGTCAATAGTGACTCCTAAAAATTTAACAGATTGTTTTTCAATGAGAGGCAAGCCATCAATCTCAATATTAAAATTTCTTATATCATGTACGTTGGTCTGTTTAAAATAAATAAAATTTGTTTTACTAAGATTTAATGACAATTTATTAGATTTAAACCACCTAGAAATTTTCATTAATTCACAGTTTAACCGCGTTGTGAGCGTATCAAAGTTTTTATGGGAATAAGAAATACTCGTATCATCAGCAAAGATGATAAAATTCAAAAGTGAAGAGGTTTCAATCATATCATTTATATATATAATAAAAAGCAATGGACCCAATATAGATCCTTGCGGTACTCCACATTTAATTGTTAATTTTGTTGATTCATGATTTTGGAAAGATACATATTGTTGTCTGTCTTGTAAATAATTAGTAAACCATGAAAGAGCTTTACCTCTTACGCCATAGTATTGTAATTTATGAATTAATATTTTAAGATCGATCGTATCAAAAGCTTTTGACAAGTCCATAAATACTCCGACAATATGTTCACTGTTCGCAAAAGCCTCAATTATTTTATCATACATATGCAAAATTGCGTAATCGGTAGAATGACCAATTCTAAATCCGAACTGGTTAGGAATCAATGAATTATTTTTTTGTAAGAAAGTGTTAAGTCTTTTATTTATTATTTTTTCGAGAATTTTAAAGATACTTGGTAATAATGAAATTGGCCTATAATAACTTATTACTGCGGAATCGTCCTTTTTATAAATAGGAATCACTTTCGCGATTTTAAGCAAATGTGGGCATACACCCGTTGAAATTGATAAATCAAATATATATGTCAGGGGGGTTACGATATTAAATATTATTTGTTTCAATAAGTAAACACTTATACTATCATGGCCACTAGATTGTGTAGAATTAAGGTGTTGAACTATATTAATAATTTCATAATCATTGGTTGGAGTAAGAAATAATAAATTTGCACGTGGTAAATTCAAGGACTTATTATAGTCCATGTCATCTGAATCAATATTAGCTGCTAAATTAGGGTCTACATCTATATAATACTCATTAAAAGCTTTTGAAATTTTAATTGGATCTGTTATTTGTTGTTCATTGATTAAGAAATATTTAATACTTTCTGTATATGGACGACTATAAACATAAGCTTTATCATACTCGTTAGGTAATATTTCATTTTCATTGGCACAGACCCGGATGAGCATTGTCAAATGTTGTACGCTTGGAATCTGTACAATTACCTTTAATCAAATTTGTGTTTGCTTTTTCCGCTTGTATTACTAATATCGTTCTGATGGCGGTTAAATTCGATAATAATTGATTCATTCGTGCATCATGTAAACGGGAGGTGGACTACACTGTGTTTAAATGAAGGGGATGGTTCAATTGATTTTAAAAAGTTAGCCATTGATTTATTATCATTCTTATCAGGACAATTAACCCCCGGCAAATTACCCTCATCCCTAAAAGGTAACCCCTAGGACAATTACCCCCACCCCACCCCCCAGGAAAACCAAGAAAAACCACCCCGAGGACAATTACTGCCCCCCCCCCCCCCTGTTCGTTAAAATTACTATGTCCCATTTGCAGCCAATAACTATGTAGAACTTGGCAGGAATTATTAATACGACACGTATGTCCTATCTGTGAAACTGAAACGTTGGCAATGTCTAAACTATGCAAGGAACCTTCTAGACTTCACTGTCTGACACTATTGGGTGAATATGCAATTAATTTGGTAAAACATGAGCTGAAAAGGTTCATGAGCATTTTTCCACATCAATATTAAACCCACTTTTTGTAATGGCCAAAATTAAACTAATTGAATCAGCTTCGCTTCGGAAAGATAGCTACATCTAGATCGCCTCGGAAGTGATAGTTTGTCCCATCACCTTCACCAACGGTAATTATTTGCTTTTTATAAATGATAATGATAATAGTCATAATAATAATAATGATAATAACAACCATTACTAATACAATAATATTAAAATTTTCATTTATATAGCGCAGAGACTATTATGAATACACCTCTACTGCGTTTAATGCAACGTATCACATTATTACTCTGGCTATAGCTGATAAGGCGCTATTCAATTCGATTCAATTCAATTTTATTTCGCAATATAAAGATCAAAATATACAAAGTAACAGTAAATTTTAACTATGTTTACAAAGGTTAAATGCGGGGCTTTCCATGGAGGTTGCAAAAACCTGTGAAGTTGGATCGCCCATTAAAGAATGAAAAACAATACAAAAAGAAATATAACATATTATAAGCACACAACAATAAATTAAGTAAAATAAGCAAAGTACAAACACTTCAACTACATATGAGACAAGAGAAAGTAAAATAGAGAGAAGAAAAACAATATATAAAGGGGGAAAAGAAAGAAAAGGAAAACAAGATAACAATGAAAGAGGGTTCAGATATAAAATTAGAAAAAAGACAAGAAAAAAAAATCAACAACTGTGCTGATTAATAATTATTTAGTAGTAAGATTTTATATTGTTTTCTAAAGGAAGATATGAATTGTGATTTCGTTATTACTTGGGGAATCATATTCCACTGTTTAGGACCTAGATAACTCATTGATTTAGCTTCATAACTAGACTTAACAGACCATAAATGAAATTTGTTGGAAAGCCGTGTATTATAATTATGAATTTGACTATTATATTGAAAGAGGTCTGAGAAGGGGGCAGGTAACAACTTGTTTTTATATTTGTACATGAATGTTGCGATTTCTTGCTTATTTATATCATATATATTTAATAATGATAGCTTCTTAAACAAAGGTGCGGAAGGTGCTAGATAATGAGAATTGGTAGCTATTCTTAAACATTTCTTTTGAACTTTAAATAGTGTGTCTAATTCAGTTTGTGTTTCATTAGTGGCCCATACAATATTACAATATTTCAAATAAGGAAAAATAATGGAATGATATAAAGTTATCAAATTTTCGGGTAACAAACTATATTTTAGCTTATTTATCAAGCCAGCATTTCTGCTGATCTTATGTAAAACATTTGTGATATGGTCCTTAAATCCCAAGCAATTATCTAATACGACACCCAAGAAGTTAACGGAATTACTTAATTGAATAAGTTTATTATTAATATAAATGGGAATATTATCGTTACTAATTAAAGGACCGTTATTGCTAGCTATATCGGAAATTTTGGAAATTTTAGATCCTATATTATATTTAGTTTTTCGAAAATAAACACATTTAGCTAAAGCATGCACAGAGTTCGTAGAGTATCATGATACCATATTCTTGGTATGATATTTCATGATTGAATGCACGGGGGTCAATTGTTTTAAGTAGGTCTTTCTTTCAGCGTGCCACGATTTGTATTGTTAAATTTATTCAGCAGTCCCCCCCCCCCTCACCTTTTTCCTCGTCCAGCTTTGGAGGCACATATAGGTAGTACACGATTTGCTATCATAAATTTATATTTTTCTTTTATTATCATTACAGTCACCATATTTATTTTTAATTTTGTGGGGTGGTGGTTTATGCACTTGAGTTTCATATTAAGGGTTAATGATTCCTATCCCATTTTGGCAGTAATGTCCTTTGTCAACAATTAATCCACATCTGTCACTCTTTGTCCCGATGTAACTTGGTACCAGGCAATTGTCGGAAATTAATTGCGTGGCCCGCAGAAGGATCAGAAGCAATATTGAAATGACTACAATGGGTGAATAAGACCCAATTATTATTTATTACCATTGTTTTTATTTGTTTATTAAATCATCAATTAATTGTTCCCGTATTCATTATTTCTTCATTTATTTGTATTCATTTATCTATTTATTGATTTATTTATGTTCATTGTATCATATCTCTCGGATTTATACTTTTCGGCCGACAGAATTGAGCACTGAAGGAATCATCCTAATCTGCAATGCCACCCACATGATTGTTCAGATTCCGAAGGGACTCCTGACAGGTGGCATGTCTGGTGAAGACGTCCGCTTCGAAAACGATAATAGCTCGGACTGCATTGGAGAGGACAAGGGGGGCGACACCCCTGGTGACGAGTTTATTGAACTTGCCACCAAACTCACAGAATGCGAAACAGAAATGAAGGTAATATTTCATTGTTTCTTTGTTTTTGCGTTTTGTTCTTTATTTTCTGTATTCTGTTTTTTCTTCATTATTTTTTTTTTTTTTTTCATCCATTAATATTTGTATCGATTCATTATTTATTCATTTATGTATTTTTTTTCATATTCATTAATTCATTTTGGTCACCTCCTTGGAATGAAAAGGAATCCCAAGATTGTGAAGAAAAGCCTTTTTTGTTGGTTCTCTAAAAGAATTCAGAGTGAAGAAGTACACTTTGCATCTCCACCACGCTACGCCCCCATCTCCCTACAAAATGCTTGTAATGGTCTGCCTGGTTACTATAGCATTAGCCCGCAGTGAAATGTATAGGAAACAGTCCCTAAAATTATAATGATCCTATGATATGGCATGAAGTAAATTTCAGTGAAGAGTAGGATGTTGTATACATTTTCTTCGTGAAGTGGTCATTATCCACCAACCTTCTAGCACTTAATTAATAACCAAAATATACATATTAAAGGGATAGATGAGTGCTGTTGCAGAGGGCGCTACCCAAAATAAGTTTTTGTGAGATAATAACAAACTGAGTGTCAAATTTGAAAGAACACACAATTTAAATGACAAAATCATCTTTGTTTGATCGAAATCGGTTCAGAGACGGCTGAAATATCCATAAATATAACGATTTCTAATACTTGTGCACCACCACAAATATTAGATCATTTGAAAAAGCCGTTGAAAAAACGTATTTCAGCCAATGTCGATGTTGGCTTTTCGGCATTTTTGTGTAGGTTATACTACGCACAACCAGCCGGCCCATATATTGTTATTTTTAATTAAATAATTAATTAACGGTCACCGTATTTTTTTTTTAAAGTGGGGCTGGATTGGTGTGATCGTATTGGCTAAATTACATACATTTTTGGGGTCTAAAATTAACTTCATAGCAATTTTAAGTTCTAAAAAGGCGCTAGAAATGTCATAGATAAGAATAAGAGCAATAACCATGCACTTCAAAGGCATTTGAGGTCTAAAAACAGAACTCAACTCTCCCTTTAAGCGTTCGCGATGCAGTGCATATTGAATCTTGTAGAGTTGTGAAGTGATAATGTGGACAAACCTTTGATGGTGTGTTTGACCATTACTCGTAGGCATGGTAACATGTTTCCGCATTTGCATTATTTTGATCATTTTTGGTCGGCTGTGAAGTCGCAATTAGTACAAGTAATTTTTGAGGGTTTTCATACGTTCACTCCCGCCCCACCCTCCCCCCCCCCCCCCCCGTGCCATTCCTAATAACTTCTTAACGCAAAGTTTTGAACATATATGTTGTTAGGTTGGGACTATAATTAGTACGTTACCCAATATTGATTTCTTAGTGTATTCTGCTAGGCATGTTTTCAACGACAGAATATAGAAAAATGGAAAAAGCAACATATTATTATTAGAGAAGAAAAAAAAAACTCACATGATACATTTTTTACAAATCATAGCGTCTGGTGTAATTCAATTGCCTGACCAGCTGACATGATTTATTTAGAAAACTCACATTTCCTGACTACCATGCATATTATTTTCTTGATTATATAATCGTTTTAGGTTACAGCACTCGAAACTCGAAATGTCGATCTCAGAAGCTGCGTTTGGTGGTCTGTCGGTCTCCTTGGCTGTCAGCCTACTTTTTATTTTAAGTCTAATATTTCTTAAATCTCCGTACTTCTTCTTCTTCTTCTTCTTCTTCTTCTTCTTATTATTATTATTATTATTATTATTATTATTTTTCTTCTGCTTCTTCTTCTTCTTCTGCTTCTTCTTCTCCTTCTTCTTCTTTTTATTCTTCTTCTTCTTCTTCTTCTTCTTATTCTTTTTGTTGTTCTTCTTATTATTATTCTTCTTGTTCTTGTTCTTCTTCTTTTTCTTCTTCTTCTTCTTCTTCTTCTTCTTCTTCTTCTTCTTCTTCTGCTTCTTCTTCTTCTTTTTCTTCTTCTTTTTCTTCTTCTTATTCTTTTTGTTGTTGTTCTTCTTATTATTATTCTTTTTGTTGTTCTTCTTCTTATTCTTCTTCCTATTATTCTTCTTCTTCTTCTTCTTCTTCCTCTTATTCTTCTTCTTCTTCTTCTCATTATTATTATTATTATTATTATTATTATTATTATTATTATTATTATTATTATTATTCTAGGAAGGTAACGACACTGAGACGTACACCAATGGCGTCATAAACCGATATGTAGATGATAACGGCATAAGTCGCCAATACGTCGTCGATATTCCGCTAACATGCACGTACAATAGAAGTCATCGCGCCGAATCAATCATCTACCAGCTCACTGACTACACTATCGACAAGACCCTCGTCGAAGAGGGTGCCTACACCTTCTCCTTCGATATCTACACAGATAATACCTACACAGATGTCGACGATACTTACCCCATCAGCATCGGCCTCAATAAGAATCTGTTCTTTGCTGCATATGTGGACTCTCTAGACGGCACCCTCGACCTTTCGATCCGCTCCTGCAGAGCCACACCGGATTCGAAATACGATTCTCCCACTAAGTTCGAATTCATCGAAGACGGGTAAGGACTATTCATCTGAAAGGGGAATTCCACCTTGATTTTTGCTACAATAACAAGAGGAACAAAAAAGAGAAACAGATTTGTGAATGTCTTAGTAAAATCAGATTAAAAACAATTTTTGTTTTAATTTTAAAGATTCAGTTGAGGAAACACCGTGACGTATCATTCCTGGTGCCTCTTCCATTTGATCTGTAAGCCTACTCAAAACTCCTGTTTAGATAGTATGTCACTCGGTGTCACACCAGATGAGTGTTTGAGGTAAACGCGGGGTGACATTCCTTCTCAAACACGAGGTAACGAGCGCGGTTGCCGTTTAAATTACAATGCACCTATGCGGTAATCGCGAGGTACGTTGTCATGGTAACACGTCCATAGTGAAAAAGCGCGCACTATATCTACAGCTTTGCACAATATAAAAAAAAAAGAAAACTTCGCTAGGCAGCGCCGCTCATTGACGATCTCTACATGGAATATATTTGTTATTAACAAAAATCAAAACATTCATCAAACTAATTTAAAATCAAGGTTTATTTCAATGTTATTTTATTTCAATGTTATTGCGAAATCTAGGTAAAACACGTCGTTAATGTAAATACATGTTCAGCATATTGACCTTAATATTTTCATCCATCTTCACGGCTGATTACGTACGCGGAGCAAGGGCACGCGCTTAAGAGCGAGAAGGCTTCCGGTTTCTTCCCCGCGAGCGTTTAGATCTATGCTCCAGCAACAAATCACACCTTATGCCTCCGGAGGTTGTGCCATTTCGTGCTAGACTGTCTAGCGTGAATTTTACCTCGCGATTACCTCGTGTTCGTGCTTTGTCCTTTGTGCCGCGAGCGTTTAGATCTACAGTGGACAAGGGACGAAACGAGGTAACCTCTGGAGGTTACCTCGCATTTTTCCTAGATTTAAACGGGGTAGATTGCCTTCTCACGAAAACTTTCAATCACATTGAACATGACTTGTTTAACACACCCCCTTTAAAGGTGAAATTCAAAGAAAATCCCAAATATGTCAACTTATGTATCACTAGAATCTGGTAAGCTAACAGATGGCCATCGTACAAGTTTAAGGTCAACTACACATCGGGTGATTTGTAAAAATACAAATACAACCACCTCCATAGCAGCTGGGATATACGAGATATTCGCCGGAAAAATAACGATGTTTTAATGACGTCACTATATGGACCAATACTGCCCAAGCAGACGACATCCCATTAAGAATGAACATAATTGCAAAGCTATTATTTGTCAAATTATAATGAGTTTAGTGTATATAAATGTAATGGCATGTCAAACCATTCAAAAGGGGATATGTCCCGATTCTGATAACTAAAATCTTTTTCTTGTAAATACACAGGATAGGGGTTAATTAACAATCAAAGAAACCAGACTTTCAAATTGAAAAACCCCCGGAATGATATCAAGGACGGCATTTGTTCCCTCTTGAAACGCCGAACATACCGCGGTGTGTGCAGCTGAATATACAATGGCGTCTTATTTTGTTTACAAGCGACAGATTTCTTTATTTTTATATCGCTGCATTTGTCATCAAAATAAAACCATGCGCGGGGTTTAGAGTGAGGTAATAGATTATACATTTAGCCTGACGGTAGTAAAGTAGAGAAAGAACTCAAGAGAAGATGAAAACACAGGCACTGAAAATGTGTGAGATGTCATGGGACATCGTCTGCTTGTGCAAATCATGTCCCCAGGCAGATCCACCCATTCCCATCTGGCTGATTGCGACCAAAGGCCAAAATAAGAGTTGCAAAAAATGGAAGCAGGCTGCGGAAAGCGAGCTAGAATATCAAGGGGGTCCTTGTTACACCCACAAATGTAATAACACTTTACCCACAAATGTAATAACGCCCACAAATGAACGATTGCAGAACCCTTTGACTGATAAAAAAAATATCTATATACTCTCTCAATCAATGTGAGTAAATTGCAGAGGTTATGGTTTTATAGTGATGCAATGATGGATACATAGATTTTGTAAGATAGAAAGTGTTTTATTCCAAACGAATGAAGAGGTTGTTTCATTAATATACAGACGGTAACAGAACCAAACTAATTATTACGTATAAAAAGGTGGAGTAACTCACATGTCTTTTACAAGCAAACAACGCTATAATTTGGGCAATATTGAACCTTGTTTATTTTTAAATGAAAAAAAAGAGGAATAAGATGGTGGGTCTTAGTTTCGATTTTTTTTTTAAATTTCTATTTCTTTTGAAATAACCGGGTCTGGAGGAAAGGCTACGCTCTATACCCATGTTATTCCACAGGAATGAGATGGTGAGGTCTTAGTTTGAAGATTTTTTTTTTTAAATAACCGAGTCTTAAGTAAAGACTACGCTGTAATCCCATGCTTTATTACCGGGTCTTAATTTGGAAGAAGAGGGGTCTTAGTTTAAAAGTTTTTTTTTTTTTTTTTTTTTTTTACTTTTGAATAACCGGGTCTGGAGGAAAGACTACTTCTGATGCTCATGTTATTCCACAGGAAAAGGATTATGGGGTCTTAGTTTTGAATTTTTTTTAAATGTTTGAAATAACCGGGTATGAAGTAAAGACTGCGCGCTATACCCATGCTATATTACAGGGTTTTAGTTTTGAACAAATTCGACAAAATATCCCTTCAAATTTATTACATTTGTGGGTAAAGTCATTATTACATTTGTGGGTGATTAAAAACTATTACATTTGTGGGTAAAGTGGTTATTACATTTGTGGGTGAAATTATTACATTTGTGGGTTAAGTGTTATTACATTTGTGGGCGTTATTACATTTGTGGGTATAACAGTCCTTCCGAACTCTTTTTGTCGGCACAGAATAGGATCGGCGAGCTTCAACCAAAAATAAAAGATGAAAAAGGAGGCATGAGGAATTATTGCACTTTTTCCTTTTAAGTGCCCTTTCCCCTCAACATAAATGTCACTATTCTAATCTGATAGGCGCTCATTTTTACTTATCATAGGTGCTTATCTAGTGCCCCTGTTCCTTCCTAATAACTGCCAGTTTCCCTTCTACTGAGTGCCCCTTTTTATTTTGTTATAAATGCCACTTCCCCTTCCTTTATAATAAATGCCTCTTTTCACCTACGATAAGTTTCCCTTTTACATTGGCGGGGGCTATTTTCCTTTTCAATATTTTGTTTCCTTCTAAAAAGTGCCCATTTCCCCCTTACCCATTTCCACATTAAATGTCCTTTCCTCTTCTTATAGATGCTTATTTCATTTCTGAAAAGTGCCCATTTCAAATCATGATAAGTTCCTCCTTTTACCTATATTTCCCTATCTCGCTCATAGATTTGCTCATTTACGGTCATCTAAAGTGCCATCTAGTTTCAAAGAATCGAGACAGCTTTGTGTAACAACAGGAACCTATTTTGTGTTTAACACTTCGATGAAGAGCGGTGGGGTCGCAACGAGGCAGGGGCAGATTGTATACAATTTCATATGAACAAACTGTGCTCCTCTTAGAAATATGGTCGTTTCCAAAGTTACCAAACGTCCCTTCTCAAGAACACAAAGGTTTAGACAATGTATGAGTTTCCCAAACTCAAGGCAACTACGTTTACATTATCATATTTCATTCATATTTGTTTCTTAAATAAGAAGAGGTCGCCATTATAGTTGGTAAATTTATATCTTGTTTTTCTACGTATGATAGCTTTTTTCTGTGGTTTCCCTCTATTTGGAAAAAGAGTTGATATAATTAAATCCCAAATATTGCAATCGATTTTATCCTCTAGTTGTTCAATTGACGACGACAATACTAAGATCACCACCCTGGAAGACCATCGCATAGGAGTAGAGATGAAAACTATCCGGTTCATCGACGATGAGGACGATTGGGTAAGTTTGTTTATATTCAAAGTTGTCTAACCTCGTCCTTCAAAACTTATAAGGTTGACAATTCTGAATCATTAACATCATAATGGTTAAGATGAAGATGATGATAAAAATGATAATAATTATAACGATAATTACAATAATAATGATGATAATAATAACAACAGTAATAACAATAGAAATATAATACCACGTGAGTCAAAAAAAAAAGTTAACACCTAGAAAATTGCTAATTATTCTAAAAATCATCTATGAACAGTAAATTACTATACATCTTATAAAAGAGCGTTTTATCCCAAATTACTTGGTATCATTTTTGTGTGGTATGTGTTCGCGCTGCGCCAAAGAGATGCCTACAGTGTGTGATATGGTGGGGTTAAAGTGAGAAAATGAATTGAATTTATCAAATGAGATGAATTGCACACACACACAAACACGCGCGCACAAATGTTCGTTGATATTTGATATTCGATATTTGATATGTGTGGCATGATTCATTTTGTTAGGGATGTTATTTGAATCTGCAATTACCGATTTGATACCCAAATCCCAATTGTTTTATTCAAACATCACATAAGCAACATTGGCGCGATTTTCGCACTCTCGCAAACAATGCCTCCGGTTCATCCAAGCGTAAACACATACCACACAAAAATGATACCAAATGATTCGGAATAAAACACTCTTTCATAAGATGTATACTAATTTACTGTTCATAGATGATTTTAAAAATAATTAGCAATTTTCTAGGTGTAAACTTTTGTTGACTCACACTGTATATTATACAGAGTGAGTCAAAAAAAAGTTTACACCTAGAAAATTGATGATTATTTAAAAATTCATCTATGAACAGTAAATTATTATACATATTATGAAAGAGCGTTTTATCCCAAATCATTTGGTACCATTTTTGTGTGGTATGTGTTCACACTTGGATTAACAGGAGGCATTGTTTGCGAGAGTGCAAAAGTCGACTTGCGCCAAAGTTGCTTATATGTGATGTTTGAATAAAACAATTGGGATTTGGGTATTAATTTGGTCTTTGCAGATCCAAGTAACATCCCTAACAAAATTAATCGTGCCACACATATCAAATAACGAATATCAAATGTTAACGAACATTTGTGCCCGTGTGTGTGGGTGTGTGACTTTGCCCTTTGCAAAAGGCATATGTAATGCATTTCATTTGATACATTCAATTCATTCTCACACTCCGTTGATCCCAACATAATACATACTGAAGATTCACTTTGGCGCAAGTCGATTTTCGCACTCTCGCAAACAATGCCTCCCGTCCATCCAAGCGTAAACACATACCACACAAAAATGGTACCAAATGATTTGGAATAAAACACTCTTTCATGAGATATATAATAATTTACTGTACATAGATGATTTCAACAATAATTAGCAATTTTCTAGGTGTAAACTTGTTTTTGACTCACACGGTATATAAACTGACACACGAAAAATAATTGATCACCACTGTCAGATATTATTACTTCGCTAAGTGTTTATTCATATTTCAAAAATTGGCTTTTCGACCTGGACTCACACTCACATTGTATAATTGTAATGATCATAGTTTAAAACGAAAATTTCAGTATGGAATAGGGCATTTCAGGAATAATATCTGAGTCATATTTGTATAACGGATATCATTCTAGATTGGTAGACAAAGAAGGAGAAAGATCGCATGTCATTCTTCCTTCTTCTCATGACTCAACCTACTTTTTCATCACTATTCTCTCTATAGTAAATTCTTGTCAAGTCACATGATCGGAAAAAAATAAACCGTTGCCTCCCTGTCCCCTCCCTTGTATTGAAAGACCTATGGAACTACTGTTCTTTCATACTCTTAGGTTTACATCCACTGTAATCTCCTGGTATGCGATGACGAGGACGATAATTCAATCTGCAACAATGACTGCGCCCTCGGTTCTTCAGAGATCATGGGGCGAAAGAGGCGTGACGTCAGCAGCAAACTCAAGACCAAGCGATTCACGCGAGGACCTCTCCGCGTTGTCCGCTCTGCACAGAGGCAGGGTAGTGTCTTACGCATGGACGCCAGCGAGAACGGTAATAATTTAGTTCAATGCGATCGCAATTCCGGTATCCATTGGATATTTACTTTCTTCTCATATATGTATCAGAATAATAATTTAAAAAACTAAAATAAAAATTCTTTAGAGTTTTCTTCTTAACTATTTACCAGTATCAATTTTCTTTCTTCAGATGGAAATAAAATTGAAACCGGTCATATAGTGAAGAACAGAGCTTTTTAATATTTTTATTTCAATTATTTTAATCATTATTTATATATTGCCGTGACGGAGGATTATCAACATTAAATTATTTGTTCTATATATAGAGGGCATTTTAAGTGCCCATACTTATAGTCTTTACAGCTTTCGAAAACTCATAACGTTTGTTTATTTAGTCAGATTTATTTAAAAATTTCATCAGTTCGCTTCTTTGATTTTTCTGCTTTCTTTTAGAGTGGTTTTCTATTTTGGTTGGATTTCCCTTTAAATCAACTGTCTGTTAAAAATGCAGCGCCAAGTTATCATACCAGAGACCAATAATGTTTTCCTCCTCCTCCCCCTCCCCCTTCCTCCTTCTCATCCTCCTCTTCTTCGTCTTACTATCATCCTCCTCCGCTTTCTTCCTCTTCTTCTTCTTCTTTTCCTTCCATCCAATGTTGGTGTATATCACCGCAGGTGCCGCAACGCAACAAGAGTTTACCAACGCTTTTAACCCGTGGATTGTTGCCATTGCTGCTTTGGCAACCGTTGTCATGGCAATGGCCGCCATGATGGCTGTGGTCCTGCGGAAAGTCAACAAGATCTCTGCCGCACCGGCCGGGTCCAAGGAAGGGTCTGCCCGTCTCCTAGATGACAAAGAAGAAATCTAAATGGAATTGTACAACAGCTCAAGATATCAATAATATAATAAACCCCCATCGTATTGATGCCAATTTTCTTTATTATAATTATATGAAAATGGCCAAAGATCAACAAGATTGTACTTTGAACACGTTCATTCGGGTTTAATGCAGGTGTCCCTGGGTAACGTAGCCAATGGGTTAATTATCTGATGAACCAACTAATGAAAGTAGGCCTAACCTACCTATAATTACCACGAACCCGAGCAAAACCTATTGACTAGGGGAAACGGATACGTATACAGATTTTTAAACTATATCAGGTATTCAGGTCTGATCTTTTATTTGAGTGCATTATCGTTATTTGACTTGAGTCTCAAACCAGAGCATGATTCTTTTTGTAATTTCTTTCCTTTCGTTCTTTCCATTCTTTTTTCTTTTTCACAAGAAAGGAATAATCAAGAGCAAAATCTTTTTTTATTTTATTTCATATTTGCTTGCGTAATGCAAAATATCGGCACGATAAATCTTATTGAGACAGGAAACAAAATAGTTTCCATTCATGCAAATGAAGGAAATTAACAAAGTCAAAATTCAATTTTGAATATAAGCAATGGAATGAACGACAACACTAATATACGTGACATGTGGTAAATGATTGTATATCAGGTTCGCATACATCGATCACAATTGTACCGAGGTTCTTTAGCAACTTAAAACTAAGTGTTTTTCCGTATAAAAAGATATGGTGTAATTTCATGGTAACACCTTATGAAAAAGAAAAACATCTTCACAGCGTAAATAGGTTACAGCCAAAAGTCAAAAGTCACACAGCCAACACAAATGAAATTCAAATAAAAGTTGCTGTCTGATGAAGAACTCATTATGACCCAACATTTCAGGCCACAAGACATTTGATTAAATGACTTTGTGTTTCCAGGAGAGATGCGTAACACTGTAGGTAGAATAGTTGCACCCTGATAGGTGGCTATACCGTTATCATATATGTCGGTCACCTTGTAACTTGTAAGATGCATATGTGTCATGCGATGTACATTATAATTAAAATTCATATATGACGTAGAAATATATTATAAAACAGACAGCTTGGCTACAAATATGACTTTGAATTTGTTTGGCTTCAAAGGATGATGAGATTCAATAGTTTTGCATCTATTCTCTACAATCGACAATGACAGTAGATTGTTGAAATATGATTAAAATTTAACTTTTCCCGCTTATGCTATTGTGTCTTGATTTTGTTTTCTTTGCAGTTTTCCTTTTTTGTGTGTGTGCTAACAGGTGCCTGGATAGAGTTATTTTCTATCCGATTTTAGTAACTGAGTTTTATACGCTTTGCTAATACCACGAAAGAAGTTACCTGCTACACTCTAAAACTGAAATGTTAAATTACTATTTAAAAGGGCCGAGGAGTGACCCCTTTTTAAAATGGTAGATGAACACTTTGAACATGCTGGATTAAACACTATAAAGGTTGTATCTAGCAGGTTAAAAGTATCAATCTGACATTTTGAAAGAGGAGTCACTCCTCGGCCCTTTTAAATGGTGATTTAACATTTCAGTTTTTAATGTGTAATCATACAACAGAAAATCCGTTGGTTGCCATGAAATTAGAGGAAATGAGAAAAAAGAATAAATGCATGTATCAGGGAAATCCAATAAAAATGATAGATTCATGAATCCGTATAGTTGTAAGCGTTTACGGGCAACTGTATCCGGTAGTTTTTCGATCAAATTTCATATTTTTTTCCAATATTTGTTCTCTATTCAACAATAACATCAGCAACACAGTTTTTAAAAATCTCTCTAAAGACATCTTCCAGTTACCAACGGGCAACTGTATCAGGTAGTTTTTCGAACAAATTTCATATTTGCCAATATTTGTTCTCTATTCAACAATAACAACAGCAACACAGTTTTTAAAAATCTCTCTAAAGACATCTTCCAGTTACCAGTGGCGGATCCAGGAGGGGGGCATCTCCCTCCCCCCTGGGAAAAAAACGTGTATAAAAACACGTTATTTTTAGCTTTTGGGGGGATGGGGGGGGGGTGCACATTTCAAATTTTCGAGGGCCAAAACAAAAACGTGCTCACTACCCCCCTCCCCTCCCCCCTCCCCCCTCCCCTCCTCCCCCTCCCCCCCCCCCCCCCCCCCCCCCCCCCCCCCCCCCCACCACCACTGAGCGACTTTTCGGCCGGCGCGATTTTCAAATTTTCGGGAGCAAAAAAAAAAAAAAAATGGGCCCCCTCCCCTGAGAAATCCTGGATCCGCGCCTGCCAGTTACTCCTGGCCATTTTCGTTAAAAAGTATGGACCAGAGCCAGGGCTACAAATGACGTTTCTGGCTTTAGGGTTAGGGTAATGTATCAGTTTGATCCAGGGTTGCAGTTAGAAATGAGTGTTTAATGAACACGATGAAGGTAATGATCGCGGAACGTTTTTTGTCAGATCGTGTGTGTAGTATGCAATCCCATCTGAGCACTATGTTGTACACCCCATTATATAACCAGCATTTAACAATAATCTTTTGATCCCAGAAGTAGCCATTTTTCAAAATTGCACAATCGATGTGTGCCGTTGATTAGTAAAATAAGGCCAACCCGGTTTTAGTTTTTACTCGGCAAGAAAAAATAAGATAATATTATACACCATGTTGTGACCAACTGAAACCAAGTTGGCACAACTCGGTGTATAGATGGAGCTAGAACGCATACAAAAAAGGATGCCATCTTGTGTCCAATTGAACCAAGCGACTGAGGAGGTTGGGCCTACGGAGGACATACTGGCCCGAATTCACAAAGGAGGTTTGTCGACGAACCGAGGTTTATGTACGTCATATGACGCGTTTTGACGCGTTTTTTACAAACCTGGTTTGTAAATAACAAAAGGAGGTTAGTCGAAACAAAAGGAGGTTTTTCGACAAACCTCCTTTGTGAATTCGGGCCCTTGTGTATGATCGAATCTCTTTGGAGTTGGGGAATTATGGCGCCCCTTACGGGAATTAAAATTATACCTCTCATGAACAATCGTTGTAGGTTCCAGAATCAAAGTCAAGGAGAATAAGTATTAGTAATGGTTCTATAGGTCACTCAATAAACACTTTGCTATAGTGTCATGAAGTTTTTATATTGGGACATATAAATAAAAAATAAAAAAGTTTTTATATTGGGATCACATTTACTGACCTATAAAACCATAATAAGCCCATTAGTGCAAAATCTAGGTTTATCTAAAGTAAAACAAAAACAGAAAAGCAAACTTTTCCAAAGAAAGCAGAAAAATCATTGAAGTAGCTTGGTTTTGAAGTTTGATTTCAATTTTGGAAAAATTGTTATAAGTGTAAGGGAATTTCAAATTGGCTAAATCAGTTATGATTACTTTGATGTAGTGCTGGATAACTTTCCATAATTTTCCACTACAAAAAATGACTTAAATGTAAGTTTGTCTAAATATATGACCCAAGAGGATTTTTTTTTGGTGTGTGTGTGTGTGATGTGTTTTGTTTAAATACGATATATAATAATGCTGCAAATGTTATAATTTTAGCAGTGCCAGAAAAACAGAATTTATGATAGCTGTACACAACAAACGGGAGAGCTGTCAGCGAATACGTCATATTCAACTGACGAACTTGCCAATACTTTGAGATTGAGATAGATTTAGTGATCTCATATTTCAAAGAGTGATAACTTTTTTTGTATTATTGGTCCGATTTATTTCAAACTTTTGTCAATTCGTTTCTCTTATGTTTCCGCTTTTATACAAATGAGCTTATGAAAAGCGTTGGATAGCTCTTTGATAAGGAAGGCTTAAATAAATATTGTATAGGATTACGTTTATATTTGTTTTCTGTGGTTCGCGATAAACCAAAATATCATTATGAAGTACATGTAGGTTATTTACAATCAGAACACCGGTATTGACCTACGTCTATTAGATATAATTAGGCTCAGAGGGTCAATTGGAAGTGGAATTCAGAATAATGGGAAGGTTGCTAAGAGTTTAGACAGCTACAAAATTAAAAGTTTATTTAGTTTAACTCGCTGCAGTTTTCTTTCATTTCTTTTTCATGGACAAGAAATTGTATGCCATCGGGGACAAATCAACGATGTATCCTTATCCTTTTTTATGCATGGTGTCTATACAGAAAAAAAACGGTTTGGGAGGACTATCATTTCTTGTGATTTAAGTTATTCCTATAAGACCTGAAAATCATGATTTAATCACTATCGCTGTAAGTGAACAGTCCGATGTCTGAACATGATAACAAGGAATATTTAGGTAAGATAACAGATGGATCAAACAACCGTTCATCGATAATTTACGCCAAAGGCGAAAGACAATACTGATAAGATATTGTGAAAGAATTATTTCTAGAGAGGTACGTCCATGCAAGTGTGACCAAAACAATGCTGCTCTGGAAGGGTTTTATGTGTTTGAGTTGCTTGCTGTTGCTGAATGTTCATCTAGCAACTTCAGGTATGTATTCCAATTCTTCAAAGTGAATGATAAGATAGAAGAGGATTCTTTAATATTTCGTAGTAGTGGTAGTAGTAGTAGTAGTAGCAGAAGCAGTAGTAATAGTAGTAGTAGTAGTAGCAGTAGTAGAGCAGTAATAGTAGTAGTAGTAGTAGTAGAAGAAGAAAAAGAGTAATAGTAATAAAGTATCTGTTCTTTGGAAAAGTTTATATCTTGTCGTTCGTAGCGTCGTGAGTTGCTTAAAAACTTCTGTGCACTTTGCGTTTTTTTACCTGAAAGAAAATTAATAAACTATAATTTCCAGACCAACGTGATTGGAGGAAGGTATTACAAAAAATACGAGAACAAACTATTGAGAACCATATTTTCCACTTGCTACTAACTTTGCATCTTTTCCATGGACAACAAGCATTTTTCCTTAATATCCTAACATTTAACAAATGGTATACGATCTAATTTAGTCATACCGTAACAATAATTTGTTCTTTACTCATCATCGTCCAAATTCTTATCTGTACAAACTGGAGAGTGTAATTTATTAAGGGCGAGATATGCACATTGTTTTTTTTTTAAATGTCCTTTTGTACGACCATCTGTGACTTTAACGCACTTTAATACACACTAAAAATTGATAACAATTTCCAA